CATTACGCCTGTAGAAATGTGACTGAAAGAGCTTCGATCGACCTTGAAACCTGCTTTAGATAGTCTCCATTCTCTAGTTCTTCTATAAATTCGTCGAGAGCACTAGTAAAATGTTAACCAGTAGAGATTGAACAGGCGCGAACTCCGGGAATGGGTGTTGGGGCGCGCTCGTCAGCGCTTTGCCATTATGACTGTAAAATAAACGGTGAACAGACTAACTTAAAATAGCACCAGAAGTTTAAAATACTAGCATCATAAACTTCTGATAGCGCTGATATTTTGCTTTTAACGATGGAACAATAGGGAGACGCTGCGTTCTGGTGGAACCTGAAGCGCAGTGGAGACGGTGATGATAGCACAAGACATGCTGGCTGCCCAGTATTGGTCGGCAGTAAATGGGGTAAGATAAGTAAATATGTATTTATTTGTGATATTAACCTCTTACTAACTGAACGCCAGGGCCGCACGGGAATANTTGGTCGGCAGTAAATGGGGTAAGATAAGTAAATATGTATTTATTTGTGATATTAACCTCTTACTAACTGAACGCCAGGGCCGCACGGGAATATTGGCCCGAGCTCGTTGCAGTACCAACCGAGCGCAGCGAGGTCCGTACAAAAACGACCGAGGGCATATATTGACCCGTGCGGCTCGAGCAAGCTAGTTTAGTAAGCAGGTTGTTATATGGCAGTCGGCTCTTGAATTTTCCGCTTTTCAAAAAGTGAGAAATACACGGCCTATTCCCTTCGTATATCAAAATCTGACCAAAAAGAACCAATCAGAACCCTCGGATTTACCTCAAGACTACCTTGCCATATAATAAATGGCGTTACTGACCAGGCGCGACGCCAAGAAATAAAACTATTCACCGTGTCCTACTTTGTTCGTGTGAACCGAGACGAAATCGCGGACGAAAACAATAAACAACGCAATATTTACAACGTTTGAATCGAACAGTCATGACAAATGAGGGTTTCTTTTCTTACTCAGAAAAGGTTATTGAAATAGTCTTCAAGCGAGTTTTCCGGTCAAGTACAAACGAAGCCAGACGCTCTCTAGAACTGACCAATCGCTGTTAACACCCGTGTTACAGCCAATACTATCACGGCTAAACTGACCGATCAGTTTCAACGCACCAGAATTATAACACCATG